TTTTTTTTTTTTTTTTCTACTGAACGAATAACGCAACACAATTTTCTAAAGTTTAACAATTCAGAGGCTATTATCTGCAGAATATTTTATATTTTATTGTATTTTGTACCACCCAATTTATTTTATAACTGTTTAGTAAACAAAACATTAAACAGTTTTTAGAGGCAAAAAATTTCTGGCGTCAAATAACTTAACAGTAAAGATAGTGGTGATTGCTGTCATCAGCAGCAAATAACTGTTTACATATAAAAAAAAAAAAAAAATTTTTTCTTTTTTACAATGAGTATTCATTAAAGTGTGTTTGCCGATAAAAAGTAAGAAATTTTTGATGTATTGGTAGCAACTTTCAAAACCTATAACTGTGCAATTTATTTTTTCAAATTTAAAAAAAATTAACATTGCTTTTGTGTACATGAAACTGAAATAATCAAAGTTAAAACTGTCTACAGTTCATTTACATTTTTACTTGGAATCTTCTAGAATGGGTCAGCACAAAGGCAAGACTGTAATCAGTTTAAAAGGACATTTAATGCTTCTCTTTGGGTCTGCATAAATGATTCGGTTGCATCTATTTACTGTTAAATTATATTTGATTTCTGCTATTAAAAAATTAATTAATCATTTAAAAAAAACCCCAATACAAAGAATTCGATAAACAGTGTGTAGCACAAATAAACCAAATAAAAAAAACCCAAAAAAATTGAAAAGAAAAGAAACATAAAAGAAAATTAAAAAGATTGAAAATAGTTGGTGAACTATTAAAAAGTTTAGGTTTCTGAAATATTTTAGTATATAAATTTTTTGATTATTTTAAAAATGCTCTTTCTTCTTTTGAGTATCAATTCTTTGTACTACAAAAAACTTGCAAGAGACGGTGCTTCTGAGATATATTCGACAGATTTGTAAAACTTATCTATACAATTTTAAAACTCAGTAAATTTTGATTACTGTTCTAGTTCAAAAGCGTCCTTAAATTGCACTCACTATCATTTCAATTAACAAAAAAACTTTTCAAGCAAGAAAGGCAAAAAGGCTAAGAGAGCTGATTACATTAAAAAAAAAAAAAAAAAAAAAAGTAGAAATTTATTGTTACGTCTATCTTTTCTACTGTTTTCTATCTGTTCAATAAATTTCGTCTAACAGTTTCTGCATGTTTTTTTTCGACAAAAGTTGAGATCAGAATGTAAGAAGAGGAGCAAAAGAGAATGCAACGAAAAACACGAAAATGGCGAAGCAGTAATAATGAACTAATGAATAGTTAAGCTTAGCTTTTCTAAGTTATCATTTGCAATGCAATATACAGTTACAATTAGGTTTTATAGAACACTGAAGCAATTTGTAGATTGTTTTTGCTGCGCAAGTTAAACATTAAGGTTTTGTTAAAAATCTTGGGAATTTCATTTTTTTTTTTTTTTTT